TCTTGAACATGGCAAGACTATTCAAGAATTTTTGAAATATTTTAGCATAAATCTGCTGTGTGGAGCATCGCAAGAGCGTGGGAGGATGTGTCTCCAGATACACTAAAAAAATACTTGGGAATTATTTATGGCCAGCTACCATATTTCATGGTGAGGACAATGAAGATGATAGCCATGAATTTGAAGGTTTTCGGATATCGCAAACTAAAGGTGAATTTTCTAGTTTTGGATTTTGTAAAGAAATGTGGAGAAGCAGTAATAAATGAAGATGATATAAAGTTTTTCATTGTGATGACAATGCTTCTCAATCATCAATCAATTAACGAATGGCGAAATCTGTAGTATAATTCTAGATCCAGAAAATACCAGTACCGATAGTGAAGAAAGTGAAGCAGAGAGGTTAGTCGAAAATGAAAAAATTTCGATTGACAAGTTAGTCGGAATTCTCGAAACAGCAGTTACAGGACTTTAACACAATTTTGTAACTGAACAAGAGATTATGCCTGTTCTACAGAATTAAAGAGAAAGTATTAGCACAAAAACAAAGCAACTTAAACAATTTACATTGAAAGAAATGTTTAATAAAGTAAACAAATAAATATTAAGTTTTTTTTTTTTAAAATTTTGATACCCTTTAGATCATAATTGCTCTTTATTTTATAAATTATGGGTTCATATTTTTAATTGTATAATTTCTCCATTCCATCTTACCAGATTTAAATTGATGATCCGTAATCCGGAAAAAATCCCAAATCCGGAATTGCCAAAGTCCCGACAAGTCCGGATTTCGAACTTTGTACTGTATATCTTTCTCCTTACTTACTTTTTACTGTTTGTAGTAGGTGCCAAGAATAGAGAAAGATTTAATGGATGTTTCAAACCCACTTATCTTTTTTGAATTATTTTTTGATGAACTGCTTGTGCTTCATATTGTTATTGAAACTAAACATTTTGCAGACCAGTATACGAAACAACCTCCTGCAAAAGAAGAAATGCAGTAGAAAGTCCGCAATCCGGAATTATCTAAAATCCGGACCTCAAAGCCACGAACTTCCCCCTCCCTGTATGCTATATGCATGCGCATTTGATTTTTCCTTCCATAAAAAAACGTGGAGATTTTCACTTAAAAATTCTGATTCATAATGTCACTTAGGCACTGAATAAAATACCTCATTATGAAAAAACAATCATGTAAACATAAATTTGTGAGATTAATTTGGCACCATAGCGAAGTATCTGCTGATGCCGACCTAGCAAGTCATTATTTATTATATTTTGCTTTCATCACCACGCGTTTATCGATACATGATAGCTTCAGTAATAACTCATACAGTGATGTCTAAACTTTTTTTTTATATTAGTAATTGAATAACAAGACCTTTTATGCTAACATTACACTTGGCAATGATTATAGATTTTTAAATGCTCTAAGAAATGTTGACGAGGAAAAATTCAAACAAAAATTTCTTTTCATATGCTAAAAATAGATTTTGTTAATGAAACTCATAGACGAAAAGATTACATTTAGTACGATTTTAATTAAGAATAACTGATTTGTTACTCACCATAAACCCAGAGGCGGCGGCAGAACATGGCCGCACAGGATAGCAGAATTTAGGGAAGACAAAATTTTTGGAATTCGGGGAAGCACCGAGTGGCAAAATTAAGGGATGGGAAGTTTTTTATATTTTTGGAAAAGCACTGAGATCCAAAGTTTAGGCGCTGCAAAAATTTAGAATTTAGGAAGACGCTTTGAAGCAGAATTTAGGACCCGCAGAGACTGCAACGGGTGGTATCTAGCGCCGGCCCTAGATAAAGCCTTAAGTATATGTGAGAGTTCATTCAGGACTCAGATTAGTTTTAAGCATGTGCAAGAAATAAACATAGGTATAGTAAATAACTAAACTAATACAATTCAGGCTTAATTCAGTACGCAGTAGGAGCAAGACAAAATTTAGCGGAACAACTTGGCTTTCATCGCCAATCTTGTGATACAAAGCCAATAATGTTTAACGGACACTATTAAGCTAGGCTAAAATTATCTTTACTGATTCTAAAGCATTTCAGTTAATGCAGCAGACTGTGCTACTCCTTAATCTTCTAATTTGATCCAGCTCATTATTTCTTGCAGACTGTTATTATTAAAGCAATTTTATAAAAATTAAGCTTGAACTTGATTATGTATTAAGCTTCATTATGTATGTTCGAAAAGAGTTTCCAAGTCCTGGAGCTGCCAGAGAATCTACAAAGCGAAAGCATCGTTTCGATGTCCATTAAACAAAAGTGGAATTTGCTGCAAAAAATGGATAAAGGCATATATCTGTCTCAAAATTATGCGAGGAGTAATGGCATTGGAAAGTCAACTGTATATGACATAAGGGAAAAATAAAGAAGCTTTTTTAATTTTTTGTGGATTCCGACATCCCACTCGCAGTGAATAACAGAAAAAGTGTTCGTTATGACTAAAAGTGAACGATCATGACAAAGTGATGATTGAATGGGTCAGACAGCGTCACAACGAGGGCGTGCCATTGACGGGTCCAATGATAATGGCTCAAGCCAAAATATTTCATGAAGAAATTAACTTAAACACTGAGTGCCCATATTCAACAGTATGATTAACCAAATTTAAAAAACACCATGTTATAATGCAATTAAAAATTTAAGGTGAAAAAGCTTCAGCTGATACTGAAGCTGCTGGACAATTTGCAGATGAATTCATTGAACTCATTACTAGTGAACAATTATCTCCGAACAAATTTACAATGCTGATAAAACTGGTCTTTTTTTTTTGGCTGCTACGCGGCACAAAAGCGCTGCATTTATTTGTCTCGAAAACTGCAACGCAGCGCTTTTGCATTTCAGTGTGTCTTTGTTGCTCTGTGGGTGTGAACATAGTCTGACCTCACGCGTACTTTGTAACACGAGTGCATTCTAAAACAACTAACTGCGTCGCGGTTTTCGAGACAAATGAACGCATCGCTTTTGCACCACATAGCAATCAAATGGTTAAAATCAATGTTAAATTTCTTGAACAATGGCAAGACTATTCAAGAATTTTTGAAATATTTTAGCATAAAATCTGCTGTGTGGAGCATCGCAAGAGCGTGGGAGGATGTGTCTCCAGATACACTAAAAAAATACTTGGAATTATTTATGGCCAGCTACCATTTTTCATGGTGAGGACAATGAAGATGATAGCCATGAATTTGAAGGTTTTCGGATATCGCAAACTAAAGGTGAAATTTTCTAGTTATTGGATTTTGTAAAGAAATGTGGAGAAGCGATAATAAATGAAGATGATATAAAGTTTTTCATTGTGATGATAATGCCGCAATCATCAATCAATTAACGGACGGTGAAATCTGTAGTATAATTCTAGATCCAGAAAATACCAGTACCGATAGTGAAGAAAGTGGCAGAGAGGTTATCGAAAACGAAAAAATTTCGATTGGAAAGTTAGTCAGTATTCTCGACACAGCAATTACAGGACTTTAACAGCGGAATTTTGTAACTGAACAAGAAATTATGTTGGTTTAGTGTAATATTCTCTAAAGGAAAAACCCTTAGGGTTTAATGAATAGTTAACTAAGTGCAATTTTTGACAATGATTATTTTACACTCTTAACTTTAAGTTTCTGGTATTGATCAAATTTATTTATTGGATTTTTATTTTTATATATATTAATAAATTCGTTAAGTTTAAAACTTTTGTCATCTATGTCTGCACAATACATAATCTTAGGGTGCTTCTATTGCAATACAGTCAAAAGTCGTTAATCCGGACTCGTCGGGACTTCGGCGATTCCGGATTATCGATTTTTCCGGATCATAGATCATCAGTTTAAATCTCGTAAGATGGCATACACAAATTCTAAAATTAAAAATATGAAACCATATTTAGGAAATAAAGAACAATTATGATCTAAAGGGTATCAAAATTTACAAAAAAAGAAGCTTAATATTTATTTGTTTACTTTATTAAACATTTCTTTCAATGTAAGTTGTTTCGTTTTATGTGATAATACTTTCTCTTTAATTCTATAAACAGACATAATTTCTTGTTCAGTTAAAAATTCCAAAAGCTCCGCTGTTCAAGTCCAGTAATTGCTGTGCCGAGAATACCGACTAACTTGTCAATCGAAATTTTTTCGTTTTCACTAACCTCTCTGTCACACCTTTTTCATGTCTTTATCCATTTTTGCAGCAATTCCACTTTTTGTTTGACGGACATCGAGACATACTTTTCGTTTTGTAGATCCTTTGGGAGCTCCAGAATCGGAAATTGACATAATCGAAAGTTCAAGTTTACTTTTATAAAATTGCTCTTTACTCAGTCTTCAAAAAATAATAAGCTGCATCCAATTTGAAGATTAAGGAATAACGCAAGCATCAACATTAACTGAAATAGATAATTGTATAATTTTAGCTTATACCGTTCGTTATACGTTAAACGCGAACGCAAAAACGTATTCTGCACTTGCGCACACGCATATGCGCGTGCGCATAAAGGTCTTACGCGCACGCGTAAATGCCTATGCGCATGTGTCAACGCAGCGCATGCGCAGAGAGTTTTTAGCTTTGAGGTCCGGATTATGGGTGTCCGAATTAACGACTTTTGACTGTAATTATTTCTGCTAAATGTTTTCTTTAACTTTAAACTGCTTTTGCATCATTACTACACTTTTTGTGCACATCAAAAGATCGTGATGAATGGGAACTTGCTGATTAATAATGAAGTTTTTGTTTTACTCCTTAGCATCTCGAAACATACTGCTACAATTTATTTATTTTTATAGTGGTGCTTTTAACCATTTCACTTATTTATCATCCACAAAAGCATTGTAGCATTTCTTAAATATTCGGGATCAAATGCTTTATGCATTAATAACCTGACACATCTAAATCATCTAAGAAAATTATACACAAATTAAAATTGAGTTAAACAATGCTGTTATATATACAGGAAGACAGCCAAAATTCATAAATGAAATACTTACAAACATCTCTAGGGCGAAGGAGTACAGAAACTGTAGAACAATTTGATATGCATGGTTCAGATGGATCCAAAACTATGAGCCGATACCCTTGACCCTGAGCCACCCAAACATTTGCAAAATCTGTTAAAGGCTAGAAACAGTATTATTTTTACTAAATATGTAATTTAATGATTCTGATCACAAGCATATAATTAGATAAAATATTACATTAATGCTCTTTAAATACATTCCAAGATACACCACAGAAGATAATGAATGCTACACAATATAGAACATATGCGTAATTACAGTTAAATTTAATTGATAAATTATGCAAGTAAGACATTACCAACATTAAAAAAAGTAATAACACACTATTCCACCAACAATATATTATATTTTACACTATTACATAAACTATAATTCAATGTACACTGGAATATACTCCTTCTCATACTTATGGAAGTTACGGATTTTAACACTATTTGTTATATTTAGATGTTTGACTCAGTTTTTCCTCCAATAGATGGTGCCAAATTATCTGTTTATTTAACTTTAACTTAATGTTTATATGTAATCCCCCTCACAACTTTAACTTTCTCTTGTCTATAGGTAATCCCCTACTTTTTTCATATGGTACCACATTCTAATTTTTTTGGTAAGCACATTTTCTGCCAGTTCGACGCCATTATAGAAATTAACCATGTCAAACTAAATTAAGACATTGCAATCTGTCTTAAGAATATCAACAACTAGCTTTCAACCAAATATATCAAAAATTGTTGATAAAATTCAGTCTCAACCATCACACTAATGTGTTTAACTATGGGTAACTTGTACACTGCGCAAAAAAAAAAAAAAAAAAAAAAAAAACAGTTCTATATCTCCCATTCTACTGGGCCGATTGACGAAATTCAACTTGCGTTTCTCATGTCTCAAAGCACAACTTAGAATATGTATTAGATTTATATATTGTTCTAATATGTGTATTTTGACACAAAATCAGACTTTTCCTGAAATAACATACCAATTTTTTTCCATATTTCAACTCTATGACTCAAATTATGCCAAACTACCAAGTTTTGTAAAAATCGCATGAGTAGGTTTTAAAAAACTTAGCTCTCAAAAATTATAGCTCTTCAATGTTAATTGAGTTTGGTATAATATATTTATTAATCTCTCTTATTTATTAAACTTATTTGATTCTTCCTTTCACATTTTGAAATTCAAGTTTATTTTAAATAAAATTCACCCATTTTTTATGATTTATTTTATTTTTAAATAATTTTTTACATTTTTTCAAAAAAATGTTGAATTATAAACTATAAAATTTTTACCATCATCTTAAAGTAGATGTATTTCTAGCACACACCTGCAAAAAATTACAGTTTTTTATTCAAAAATTTCCCAAGATATACATGAATTTATATATTGGCAGTTTTGAAATTTGGCATATTTGTTGAAAGTGATAAAACATCAAATGTGGTTTAGACACTACGCTAAAATTATTTGAAAGTAGAAACAATGTGACTATTTTCCACTCATGCACAATGTAAAAAGGTAGGAACGAGGTGCCTTTTCTTCCACTCCAGCATAATGGAAGGGAAAGGAATATTGGTTGCCATTATATTGAGAAGTTCACTATTACTCTATTATTTTAGTATGTTTCCTTTATTTTCACAACTGAGCAGTTTACTTTTAACATATCATTTAAGTTTATATATTCTGCATTTCTAAATATTAAAGCACCATCTGTAATGACTGCTCTTATTTAATTCTAATACTTATTTATTTTATCTTTTATGAAGAGTTTTGTTAATTTTTAGTTAGATAACCACAATTCTATTTTAAAATACTGGTAACAATTAGTAATGGAAGCCATTACTTTTTCACATTAAATTTGAGTTGCAAAGTACCTCTACACTGCTAACTGGTAATAATAATATTTTTTTTTTTTAATTTGCATCATGTATAAACCAGTGAATGCACCAAGACATTTTCCCTCTAAAGTTCCTCCCCATAAATTAAATGGTTCTAAAATAAGCAAAGTTAGCATTATATAAATGTAATGGAAGCACAAATTTTGGAAGCACTATGAGCAGAAATGCTGATTGCGCAGACACTTGATGCTTAGAGCGTTCATCCATTTTTGAAGAAGAAGCAGTCGAGCCGGATTAAATTCCTTTTTCATTTAAATTCTCATTTTGTGGCCACAATTCACTTTGCACTCTACTCATGCCTATTAAAGAACATTAAAAATTTTTATATTATTGCTATAGAAGCAAATGTAGCAGCACACACGATTGCAGAAAGGCATATGACCAAGAGGAAAGCACAAGCAAAAGTGACGCATTGGCTGCGCCATATTATTGTAATGGAAGCACAAATTTTGGAAGCACTATGCACAGAAATGCTGATTGCGTAGACACTTGATGCTTAGAGCGTCCATCCATTTTTGAAGAAGAAGCAGTCAAGCCGGATTAAATTCCTTTTTTATTTAAATTTTCATTTTGCGGCCAGAATTCACTCTACTCGTGCCTATTAAAGAACATTTAAAATTTTTATATTATTGCCATAGAAGCGAATGTAGCAGCACGCACGATTGCAGAAAGCTGTCTAGCCAAGAGGAAAGCACAAGCAAAAGTGACGCATCAGTTCATAGAAAGAAGGAAGGGAGTCAAAAGTTTGTTTTTTAGTTTTGGTTTACAATTTGGTGAATGGTTAAGAGGCATCTGCAATTAAAGGTTACAAAAGATCGCACAATTAATTTGAATGATGCAGTTTAAGACTTACAGCGCTATTTTTAGGACAGATAAATGAAGTTATCAAATGAAATAAAAAAGGTTATAGTGAATTAAATTTAGAAGTTTGCTTTCATATTTTTTATGTTGCATATACATATATATATATATATATATATGGGTATAATGTTATGGAAAACCTGCATGTTATCCTACAACACTACATCGAATACAATGTAGTGTTGCATAATATAATGATACAAACAATTTTAACAAAGGACAGCATGACAAAGAAAAAAAAAAGCAAAAATTATAAGCTATTTGGCGAATTCTGGAGCCTTACACATTAAATTTTGAGCAATTATTAAAAAACATTTAAATAATACCAAGAAGAATTGAGGCGCTTCTGCTCCACTAAGATACAAGTAACGTTCTAAGGCCACTTCGCTACTATTTGGAATGAAGTACGGACGAGGAAAGATTTTTCTAACTACACGAGCTGCAGCAACGCGATTAATTTTCCTGTATAAAATGAAGCATAAAATAAAACAAAACACACTCTATAAATTTTTTTAAAAAAATTGCTCTAACAAATATTAAACTAAAACAAATAAAAATATAACATAACAAAGATAACATATAGGAACAAAAAATAACTATTTCGCACTGTAATAAAACAATTTTGAGAAAAACAATAAACCTATAAAATCCCAATATCTTTATAATTAATTACTACAGTATGTTAATTTCAGACTTGATTTTTAATTAAAGCCACGAAAAAAATGTTAAATCATCAATAATATGTCAACCTGAACTATGAAAAGTAAAATCACATGCTTAAATCTACCTTAGTTTGTATTAATTTTACAGCAGCTTTCATTGAGAGCCAGCCCATTTTATTAGATGGTACTTGAATTGCAACCTGCTTCAGCCTTTTTTTCTCTTTCCTATTTCTGCTCTCCTCACTTAGCCCTTCTAGTTGAATTCGTTTGGAATTACAATAAACTACACAATTTTAGCACCTGAAGTATGTGACCAGCTCATTTTATTCTTAAGAATAGCTATCCAAATGTATCGAAGAATGATTGAGGATTCTTGTTTGAAACATAGTATAGTTACAATTTTTGCTTCTTAAACTTATAGGTAATATTCCAGCTAAATTAAAAGTACTTTTGTTGGCTCTACCTTTACTTAAATTATGAAGTGACTATTTGCTAAGTCCAACTGTGGCAATGACAAGTCGTGCAAAGGGTGAAAAGACCCTTTTATTCAACTCAAGAAAATTTTTGATTTGGCACTTCTGATGCTTAACAAAACACAGCCAATAATATTGGCTGTAACACAAAACAGAAATGTAAAATTAAAACTAAGTCCAAGTCAAATAATCAGACGAAGCTGCTCAGAGATATTTTAACGAGTGGTTGTATCTTAGTCCTACCACTGACGTAGACTAAGCAGCAGCTAATATGCACGGCCAAATAATATAGCAAAGAAACAACGCGGTTGAAAGGCAGAACATGCTCTGTCTGAAGTAACTTGGACACCAGCTTAAATAAAACAATTCTACCCTACTTCGCATAACATGCAAAACCGAAATCTCATTCTGGCAAGAAAGTGTGGGTTGAAAACAAAAGCAATAGAAAAGGTTGCTTCAAAATAAATTAACTGTTAAATAAAATTAATGAATCCCCATACATTTATTCATTTTAATATGAGTATGGGTTATCATATAAACATTTAATTAAAGATCTACTATGTGCAATAACGGTACACTTTTAATTAAATATATAAAAGATAATGTATTCTCTAAACACACTGGAAAGACGTTTAAAACCTCAGCCCCTCACCCATGAAAATGTTTTCCCATTCTCAGGGAGGAGTTACAGCCAAAATTGCAGCTGCGCAAAGAAGTGATGAGTGTCTCTAGTTGCTAAAATCCTTAGTTGAGCAAGGACTATAGAAAGGTTTCCTAGTGAAGAATGGTATACTATACAAGTTCGACAGTGATTGCGGGCTACTTGTGGTACCCGAAGCATTAGAGCTAGAAATCATACATAGTATCAACAACAAGGGACACTTTGCAGTGTCTAAAACGGAAGATCTGCTGAAAATCGACTTTTATATTCCTAACCTTAGAAAACAAATTGAACATGTTATCTCAAATTGTGTAGAATGTATTTTGTGTGACAGAAAACGAGGTAAGGGCGAAGGGTTGCTGAATCCCATACCAAAAGATAGTATTCCTTTGAGCACTTTTCATACCAATTTTATAGGACCATTACCTTCGACAAATAAGAACTACAATCATATCTTAAGCGTGGTTGATGCATTCACAAAGTTCGTGTGGCTCTATTCAGTAATGTCTACATCAGCTCAAGATGCATTGCAGAAGCTGAAACTGGATTGATCAACTTTCGGTAATCCTTTGAGAATAATAAGTGATGAAGGTACTGCGTTCACCTCTAAAGACTTTGAAAATTACTGTAATCAAGAGAAGATCCAGCACATATTTACAACTACAGGCGTTCCTAGAGGAAATGGACAAGTGGAAAGAATTCAGCTCACTCTGATTCCAGTCCCATCCAAATTATCCATAGATGATCCAACCAAGTGATACAAATATGTTGGAGATGTACAACGAATCTTGAACAGCACTAAGAGCAGAAGCACAAAGAGTTCTCCATTTGAGCTTCTCACTGGTGTTAAAATGAGAAATCGGGAGAACTTAAAAAGATTATGGAAATTCTCGAAGAAGAAGAAAGAAATATTATGATGAAAGATCAAGAAGATATGAGAGAGGAAGTAAGGAAAAACATTCTAAAAATTCAGGAAGAGAATAGAAAAACATACAACAAGAAGAGAAAAGAGGCACAGGTATACACAATGAGAATGACCTAGTTGCCATACAAAGAACGCAGTATGGAGGTGGTCTAAAGTTAAGGCCAAAGTTCTTCGGTCCATATCATGTAACAGTGAGGAAAGGCAAAGATCAGTACCAGGTAGAAAAAGGTGGGACACCATTAAGGTCCTGGACGTACCACTACAGTAGCTGATCTCATGAAGCCTTGGAATTTTCCTATATAGGACTATGTGTGGTTCTTCTGCACTTTTTTTTTTTTTTTTTAAATTTATTTTCAGGTGCTATCTTGATGTTCCAGTGTCGCTGATCCGTGTTTTCGAGGGCGAAAACAGAGTCAGGACGGATGAGCTGTGGTATCTGTAAGTGCAACACAGCCACCAGAGGGCCTCACCTATGCGCCAACAGCGAGAGCGAGCTGAAAGAGGAGTATGACATACAGACAGTCAGTCTTCTAACCCACGCGAAGGTGGTAAGATGTCTCCACGAGAATACGGTATGACGTAGGTCTACACACGAAGATGTTAAATAATGAGCTGTATGTTTCCACGAGGAGGTGGTAACTTGACTGCATATACGACAGCTAGTGCGAGTAGGCACCAAGCTGCTATGTTAAAAAATATGTAAAGTGATAATGCGGAATCCGTTTTGAATCAAACAGCACTATAACTCGATTTAATGTACCTTTTCTGTTATTTTCGTTAAATGTCGTCTGTGGTGTGAAAAACATTCGAATTGTTTATTGAACCCTAGCAAAGCATCTTCAATTCCCCTACCACACACATATATATACACTGACTACCAATAAGTATTTGGACACCTGTGCTAGAAAAGAAACACTAACTTTATTCAAAATCAATAGTTGGTAGAGCCTCCACGAGAGGTAATTACAGCGTCGACCCTCCGGGGCATACTTCCCACAAATCTTTGTATGACAGCTAGTGGTATATTCTTCCACTCGGCCTGGAGAAGACATAGAAGTTCCTTCACCGATTTTGCACGGGTAGTGCACCCCTGAATTCGGCGATGCAACTCGTCCCAGAGGTTCTCGATAGGGTTCAGGTCTGGACTCTGGGCAGGCCAGTCCATTCGATGAACTCCATTGGCACCATACCAAGCCTTGGTTAACGTCGAAACATGGCAACTGGCATTGTCGTCCTGAAAGTAACAGGGGTCCAACCTGTAAAACTGCCACAATGTAGGAAGCCCATTGTCATCCAAAATAGTGCAGTAGGCATCGGAGTTGAGCTTACCATGAATGGGGACAAAGGGTCACAGCCCATACCAGGAGAAACACCCCCAGACCATAATTCCACCTCCACCGAACTTGACTGTTGGCACAATGCATTCTGGCAGGAGACGTCTCCAGGTAGACGCCAGACCCAGACCCTGCCATCCGAACGATAAATGGTGAACCTTGATTCATCACTCCAAAGAACCCGTTTCCACTGATCTACGGTCCAATTTTGATGTGCTTTGCACCACATTAACCGAGCAGCGCGGTTAGACTTTGTGATCAAAGGCTCATGGGCAGCAGCACAACCATGAAAACCAAGCAGATGTGCTTCCTTACGGATGGTATTCATTGAAACAATACTCCCGGATGCCTGTTGAAACTCCTCGCGGATGAGGGCCATCGGTTGGGTGCGGTTCTTCCGAATTTCTCTGGACAGCACTCGTCGGTCTCTATCTCCCAGTTTCGTTGGTCTGCCGACTCGGGGCACATTCCGACAATCACCGCTCACCTTCCACTTCTTAATCACACCGGCCACTGTCGATTTTGGGTACTTCAGATCGCTAGATATGTCCCTTAAGGATCGCCACATTTGTGATACCCGATAATTATACCTTTCTCGAAACCAGAGAGCTCCGAACTGCGAGGCATCTTGCATGCGACTAAAGCCGATCCTGTTTCCTACACGATATATACCGGTGGAGTCTGTGACGTACCTCAGGACCGCAGATATCGTCATTTGCATAGGTGTCCGAATACTTATTGGTAGTCAGTGTATATATGTAAAATATAAAAAATATGATGGCTTTGCTCTATGCGCACAAGCAACCTTTAATTAACTTTCTGCAACTTAGGATCTTCCCTCTAATCCAGTACTTTCCAGAATATTCCTGCCTATTACGTAACCTCTACTATAAATAAAGAATGCGCGCTATTTTGCAGAGAAGCTCGCCTCTCCTCCTGTGCTATACAGCTGCTGCTTAATCTATCTTTCATTTGTTAGAAATAACAATGACACATAAAGTCAATCATACTTAGTTTAAACTACTATTGAATGTGTGATTTGGAGAATTTCATATGAAGTAAAGCATGATCTATGGTGAAAATTGAATAAAGATATGTGATTAAAAGCTAAATCATCTTGTCTCATCATTTGGATTTCGCTTTACCAGTCTGCAAAAGCACTGCCTGAACTTTGATACCAAGCTTCATCATGGCTGCCGAAATATCACAGATATTTGTTTAGTCAAACAGGATGTCATTCTGTGTGGGAAAAGCTCTCTGTGGATTAATTTAATGCGCTGTTCACTTTCATCGCCATTAGGTCAAGGACAGTGCGTTGATTATCTGCTGCTTGTACTTTTGCTTTTCCTCGGCTACAAAAATAAGTGTTTTTCAAGTGTGCTGTGATTATTCATTATGCGTAAAGTG